CAGTCCTGGACCCTAACACAGCATCTATGCCTGACTCATCCTCCTCTCTCCCTTTTGAGCTCTGATGTTATGAGCACCCAGCCAGGATCTCCCTGTGTCTAGTGATGGCTTAGGTGACTGCTTTGCACCCCTTCAACTATTTTTGGAGAAGGACCTCTCATGGTGTGAAAAGCACATTTAAATGTTCCTATCCACAGAGATGATTCAGAAGTAGAAAATATTTTCCGAATATTTTCTACCATCTGCATCCCAATAGTCCAACCTGGTCATGACTTTCTCTGCCAACTTATTTGATTGAGGTTGAAGTTTACTGATACTTTTTCTACAAATTGTGCACCATATTTGATCTCAAGATGTTAGTGTATGAAAACAAACAAACAAACAAAATAACCTGGCTTATGGTAGATTAAAACTCAGGAGCATACCAGAGACTCTCCTGAACCAGAAAGCCAGACTCCTGGAAAACCATGACTTACAGAAGTGAAAAGTAAATAGATCCATGGGAATCAAAGAAGAGCAATCAAAGAAAACTGGAAATCACAGAGAAACTGGAAAACTTGAACACAATGCAGAGAAAAGAAGAAAGCAGCCTGAAATGCTAACTCCGACTCCTGAGAAGAGATCCTGTCTCTGTGAACACAAGGTAAATCTGAGCAGGTTTGGAGGTCTCAGGGAGAAACAATAGACTGAACCTTCCATGCTACCCCAAGGACATCTCGTGTTTATTGTGCAGTGTGAAAACAATACTGTGATTTACTTTGAAAGTGATATCTTTTACAGGAGTAGCTAGAGTTAGGGAAGAAACCCTTTGTAGACTCTGAGGCGTTTGAGAGTGATTAATCATGACACATTTGAGGAACAAGTTAATTGCTTAGGACTAAACAGTTCCAGGAATGAGAAGTCACAATGTAACTACATTCAGGGTTTCTGGATCCCCTTCCATATCTATGGGTGGGAGACAGCCAGAAGAGACAGTCACAGACATAAACTCCTTGAGAAGTGTAAGCAGGGTGACCTCAGATCAGGTATAACTTAGTGGTCTGTGCCTTTCGTGATAAGACATGCTGCTTACATGTGATTTTCTGAGAAGTGCACATGTGAAAGTGAAAGGCACAGAACTTGGAGACCTGTTTGGTTTTCCCAGAAGTCAACATGATCAAGGACATGCTTCATCTTTGACAGTTGCCACATACGGGGGTGTATGGACAGAGAGAGCTCTGGATCAGGGGTTTTCACAGAACCACAGAGCATGAAGCCAGGTGAAAATAAGTGTGACTTGGGGCACAGAGGGTCACAAACACTAACAGCCACTAGAATGAATACAATTGTAAAAGGAGACACCACATCATTGATTGACACTGCCCAGTAGGAAGTGTGGGGCAGGACCCAGCACACACACAAGAAGTGGGTAGAAAAGAATAAGCTCTTGCTGTGACTGGAATAGTGAAATTCTGAGCACCACCAGGACCAGGTCAGCCAGGCCCATCCAGATGAGATTGTCCACTGTGTGATCTTGAGGTTAGCAGAAGGAGTTAGTGACAAAGAGGTTAGCAAAGACCAATATTCTCCCTGGATTCCTGAACATCCACCAGGGGCGCCTGCTTCCCTACAGAAAATTTCTACCTTGTGAATGCAGATCCATAACTGAGAAGTCTTTCGCTCCCTGATTTGGAGTTTGACTGAGTTTGTAGTGGGCTGAGGGTCTCCACTTTTCCTGAGAATCAAGAAAGAGAAAAGAACGTGTGAATAACTGAAGAACCAGAGCCTTTATTCTGGGTTCTACAGCCTCATGTTTTACCATCCTGATAATCCATAGGGGCCCTTTCTCAGTGGAGTCTTCACCCTCACTGAACTCTGTAATTTGAGAACTTGAGTTGAAGGCACTTTGGAATAAAGATTGCTTGAGTTCAAAGAGCTCATAACTGGCAAGAAACAAAATTTCAAGTTGGAAAATAACTGAGGACTTTTGGTTTATCTGGAGCCCAGGACAATGTACACTCATTTTCCTGGAGTTGAATTTCTCTTCATTTACTGACCAGATATGAAGTTCTGATCCATAGAACAATGGAAATTCAGGTTCAGGAAGGTGAATGTTTAGGGCTGTGACCAATCCTGGGGCTCTGTCCCTATCATCCCTGTAATCTCATCCTAACTGATCATCTCATGGTTTTAAATACCTACAGCATTACACACACTCTTGCATGCACACATTCATACTTGTATTTTACATATGTCAGGGGTTCTTAAAATCAGTGTATCTAGTTTATAGATGTGTAAATTCAGACAGAATGACCTCTATAATAAACATGTAAAAAGATGCAAGTGGAATCAATGAATAATGGCTTAAAAGGGAAGAGAAATGTAAACATATAAAACTTACACAATGAGCACAAGTCTTATATATGTGTTCCTAGGACACTCATCCCATGTTAATTTCCTGATTTCTGAGTCTCTGCCTCCAGGATTTTTCTGAACAAGTGACCTCTTATGTTCTTTGTGTTACAGAAAATATAAACAGTCAGGATTTAACATACAATCTGTGCACTAAAGTCCTTACTCCAGTGCAGTAAAAAAGAAAAGAGAGAGATTATGAATCAACATTCTTTAATATGAACTATGTAGAACTCGACATAATATCATTAAGTATATAATAACAACTGAGATAGGAATGCAAATGAGAAATTAAATTTACTTGATATACATTATATCAGTGAATCATAAGAAATCATTAAAAAGTTATTGGAGGACAATCTTAATATGAAGTACTAGTAATACATGTAAATCAACAGCTTTGTTGTATAACAAATTATTATTCAAAAACATAAAATCACCAAGTCTTAATCTATCAATTACAATGGGATCATATTACAAAGTTTTTGTGAATATAAGATTTTCAGATAAATCTGAAATATTTCTATAGTTCATAAGTGAACCTCAATTTTCGAGTGTATAGGATGGAAAACCATATAACCGAGCTTTTGTTGGATCACTGAACGGAACTGTCTCCAATTTCACTGTGTGAATGTTCACTTCATATGCTTTAATTCAGTAATATGGACAACTGTTTCTAGGAAGATAATAGGTAACCTATTAACTGGTGATTTCATACTGTATGTGTTTTTTTTTCTAGAAATACTGTATTATTTGTACCCTTTTACTGCATTTTTAAATGTCCTTTCTTTTTTTTCTTGTCTTTAAATAAAAAAATAAAAACAATTTTCAACATCTTGAATAGAAAGATGAAAAAGTTGTTTTCTGCAATTATTGTATACATCTGATAAAATTCCCAGAAACCAGGGGTATCATTGCATTTTTAAGGACAATTTCATACATCTTTAAATTTCTGAAGAAACTGTTATTCTTAATTTTTGAAAATGGCTGTAATGATACACAAGTGTGAAATCCAACCCAAATGCATAACAGAACCCAACCACATTGCACAGCAGATCTGCTGGGCAGAGACACCTAGTGACCCAGGGAGCAGTGCCTGCCCCTCCCGAGTCTCAGGAGAGCACTGAGTACAGAGGCCCCAGGGGTCTCAGGAGGGGTCATGCCCTGTAGTGCCCACAGCCTGTTGCTTCTCTCTGAAGGAGCAGATGTGCTGGGGGCTCGGGCTCACACTCAGTGGGGCCCCAGGGAGGTGGAGCAGCCTCCTGCCTGTGTCTCACAGGGCTCAGAGACTACAGGTGTGGGATGGGGCTCTAGCACAGGTGCTCAGGGCTGAGGAAGGAAGGGGACACCCTAGGTGAACCATTTAACAGAGAGAGAGTTCTCTCCAGACCACACTAGACTCCCACGCACCCAAACCTCCTCACCTCCCTCAGGGCTCCCAGTGGATGGCTCACACAAATTGGATCAGGACTTTGTTCTAGAGCCACCCTGGCATGTAGAATTCATGTCCAAGGCCCAAGCACTGCCTTCACTTGAGGTTCATTCTTCTGCTCATATCCTGGCTGCATCTTGAGACCTTCCCTGACTGCAGTCAGCTTGGAAGAGCAGAATCCTGAGGGCCACCAGGACCAGGCCAGCCAGGCCGATCCATGAGATTCCCCACTGTGTAATCCTGGGGCTGTGAGGCTGGGATGGGGACAAAGAGGTCACGGAGGTCAGGACGTGGCAGAAACTTCCCTGGTCCCTGTGCTCCTGGACGAGACCTGATCCCTGTGTCCAGCCCCATAATATAATTCTCCTTGCTTACTTGTCTTTGGTTCTGAGTTGTTCTGTGATGAACTGACTGGCTCAGCTGCTCCTGGGAACCAAGGAAGATGAGTGGGACGTGTGAAGCTTTCGACATACGGGAGCTTCTCCCCACCTCCACATCCTTGTGTCTCAATATCATGACAAACGTGAAGCAGTCTCTTAGTGAGCATTTGCTGCTGCAGCAGTGTCACCTCTGGTCACTTAGACTCATCAGCCTCACTGCTGCATGAGCTCAGGACTTGCATCTGAGTCCCTTTGGAACAAAATTTAGCTGAGTTCACAAAGCCTAGGATTCATAAGAAAAGTGACTGCCAATTCCTAAACAGCCAAGTCCTGTGAGCTCAGTGCTCAGTGTGGGACACAGGATGATGTGAGTAACCTCCCCTGGAGAGGGGTTTCCTGACCACCAGCTAAGGACTCAAGGTCTAGGGGTAAGGGCTAGTCCTCAGGGCTCCAGAGCATCAGGAGCACAAGGGTTAAAGTCCAGGGGGCCCCTTCCCCACCCAGCCAGATCCCCTGGTGCCTCCGCCTCCCTATGACTTCTGCTAACTCATCATCATGCAGATAGAAACACCGCAGTACGGTGCTCACACAGACAGATACTCCCGTGTACAAGTGATTGTGTGTTCCACATGGCAAGAGTGTTACTGCTTTATGGAAACAGTGCTTCGACTTTCAGAAGGAAAATCTATGTTAAATGACCAACAACATAGAAGAAAAATATGTTGATTGAACAACTTTGAGAATATGGATGAAAAGCTGTAGAGAACAAACATAAATATAGCTGGATACATGAAAAATTATGTTATTAAGGTATATTTAGATTATGGTGGAGACATGTATAGCCACGTGCATGCACATTTGAATCAAGAATATTGGTGTCCTGTTGATATTTTATGAAATATAATTTTCATTTTAGTGTACTGGACACAAATTTTAACACTGAAAAGCTGGAGGAGAGGGGAGAACAAAAAATCAGTATGGAGGCTAGGGAGTTAGCTCAGCAGCACAGCACCTTCCTGCCAAGTGCAAGGTCCTGGTTTTACTTTACAAACAAATAACAAACAAACAAATAAATACATTTAGTGCACAATAAAAGTTTTAAACCTAATATCCTTTTGGTTTTTAGTGTTATTATTCAGTAACTATGAATCACAGAATTGTTTTCAAATAATTAAAATGCTTGATCCATTTAAAGATTCCTTACAAATGTTAATAATTCTTATGAATACAACTTTGAAATATTTCTAAAGTTCATTAGTAAAGCTCAATTCAAGCATATTGGATATGTGTGATACTGTTATTCTCTATAATTAATATACAAAGATAATCTTTTCCTATGAAAACAGAAAAGCAGGTCAGTGTTATTTAAGGTATAATTTCATGTATCTGTAAGGTATAATTTCATATATCCACAGAAAAGTATCTCTTTACATTTGAAAAGACAGAGCAACATCACAGGGGTGTAAATAGGAAATGCACAATGACTCAAACATGATTGCACAGCAGCCCTGCCAGGTGGGGACCCCAGTGAGCCCTCCCAACAGCAATGGCCCCTTCCAAGTCTCAGGTAAGCACTGAGCTCAGAAGCTCCAAGGGATTCAAGAGGGTCCATGCCCAACAGTGCCAGCAGCCTGGTGCTTCTCTCTTCAGAAGTGGCTGTGCTGGGGGCTCAGCTCACCCGCAGTCAGACCCCGGCAAGGCTGCCCTCTGCCCTCCAGGACCCTGCTTCCTGCCTGGACCTCAGACACCTCCACCCCTCTCACCACAGGGAAGCAGGCACCCTGTCCTCAGAGCCCCAGGAAGCCACCAGGCTCCCTCAGGGTCCACTTCCCCACTCCTCTGGAGACTGATCCTGCCCTGAAATTCACACACAGTGCTAGGATGTGTGCAGGACTCCCGGGTCTCACGTTACAGTGTCTCCTCCACCCACATGGGCAGGGTCATGACTGAGGTACTGGAACAGCAGAGCAGCTGACTCTGTGGTGGGGACATCAGGAGGAGAGGGTTGGGTCCTGTCCTCTCCCTCAGTCCATTCCCACTTCCTCCCATCTCACTTATGTCCCCTTGGGTCTCTCCCTGCCCATTATCTCCATGGGAGACATCACGGTGGTAGCACAGGCAGAGAGCTCCAGCCTGCATTAGCCTCCTTATGGGGGGATGCTCCCCTGCGGACCCTCCCCTCCACCACCACTGTGTTCTGGGGTCTAAGACCAGTGATGGCAACAGGACACAGGGTGACTTGGTTGGACAGAGGGCCTCACTGGGATGTGAGGTTCTGAGGAAGAACTGGTGGTGCCACTTCAGGTCAGTTTTGGGTCCCAGGTGACATAGAAGGATGGGGCAAGTGGGGACTGAGCCCAGAGAGTCTGATTTCCAAACTCCTTTTCCCACAAGCGCCGAGCTCCTGTGTTTGAGGGAGAGAATTGGAATGGTGCTGCTCTGCCTGGAACCATCCCCACTATCACTGTCACTGCAGAGAGGGACAGGACCCCTGCAGTCACATCCTGGATCTCCCCTGCGAAGCTGACTCTCCAAGGCTCACAGCAAGGTCATCACTGAGAGGAACTTGACGGTAGGGGCCAGGCCTCTCCTCTGCACCTGGAGAAACTGAGGCCCACACAGGAGGGGCTGGCCCAAGTCAGTATCTGCAGAGGAGGCTGCAGCAGTCCCCACCTCAGCCCCTGCCCTGGGACCCTCCCAGTATGGCCCTCACTCACCACCTAGGGATCCAGACTCTGGTGTGCTGGGCTGATGATCTTCAATGAATCTTAGGAAGGATGGGGAGGTGAGGCTCTTGGTTCCCTGTTCCTCACTTCTGGTGCTGATCCTCTCCCAGGCTGGACCCCAACATTTCTCTTAGCTTTGAAACCACCCCATGAAGTACAGATGTCCTGACCCAACCTCCTCCTAGGGACGATCTGTAAAATGGCCTCTGTCAGTCATTTAGGGACTCAAACATGATTGGGTTAAAGAAAGGGCTTCCTCACCTGAGACCAGGAGCTCCAGGGCATCACTGTGCTCTGATCACACCTGAGGTTTGGTAGCAAAACAGCCATAGCACTTGAATGTCTATCTTTCCATAGGGTTCAAAGCACCCACAGGGAATAGGGCCAGGACCTGTTGGTTAGGGCCTGGTTGTGAGTCTAGTGTCCAGTAGAGCTTGTCTTCTCCTATCTTAATCACAAAGAACCTGTCAGATCCCTCCCATGAGCCACACTTTGGGGTCACATTCTCCCCTGAGGTCACCACAGGGCTGGACAGGGCTGAGAGGCTGGGTTTGCTGTAGACTCCTAGGAGAGAAAGAGGCAGCATGTGAAATGGACTCACACCTCCCACACTGTCTCCAGGGCTGGGTTGTGAGAGGGGGACACGCCTGAAAGCAGACCCCTTCCTGAGGGCAGAGCCTGGGGCTGGGACCCTTAGTGTCCTCTCATCTGTCACCACCAGCTCCAGGGCATCACTGGGCTCAGACCAGGCAGCAGGGCTGTGATGGTCACAGTGGTATCGCCCTGCGTCATCTTCTGTCATGTATGGGATGGAGAACTTGGCCTTATTCCCTGGCTCAGGTGACATTTGTGTGTCTGAGAATTCTGGGCTGTCCTCTCTGTACAGATTATATTGCTTGGCCTCCCGGGTTTCCTCACACCAGAGAGTCACGGGAATCCCCGAGGGTATTATAGAGCTTGGCTGAGCCTGGAGTTTGGGTTTTGGGGTGATACCTGAGAGGAAGCAGTTGAAAGGGGGAGATGTGTTCTGACTGTCACAGTGAGTCCTGCATGGAGCAAGTTTAAGGCTGATCTGTGATGAGCAAAAGACACCCTAGGAGCCGCCTGTAAGATATAGCGCCCTTCTGGACATTGTGATTTGAACTTTCCCTGTCTCGTCCTGGCTTGGATATCTCTGGTCTCACTGTCCCCAACTCTGTCCCTTAGTTCAGCATTCCTGGGCGCCTCACCCATCTCCCCCCAGGTGCTTCCAAGGTCTTTAATTCAGGTCCTCAGTCATGAAAAGAAATATCTGGGGTTTCCTCACCTGAGATCTGGAGCTCCAGGGTTTCCCTGGTTTCTGACCACAGCTGGGATTGGTTCCAGTAATAGCTGCAGCATCTGAATGTCCACCTTTGTCTGGGGGTCACAGGGCTCACATGGAACAGGGCTTTAGCCTGCTCACTGGGGCCTCGCTGTGAGTCCAGTGTCCAGGAAAGTTTGTCTCCTCCTGCCTTAGTCAGAATGAACCTGTCAAATCCCAGCTGTGCCATACACTGGAGGGTCATCTTCCTTGCTGAGGTCACCACAAGTCTGGGCAGAGCTGAGAGGCTGGGTTTGCTGTAGGCTCCTGGAGAGAAGGAGGCAGTGTATAAAGGGGCCCATACCTCCCACTGTACTCAGGGCTGTGAGAGGGGGCATTCCTGTGGAGCAGACCCCTAACTGAGGGCAAAGCCTGGGGCTGGGACCCTGAGTGTCCTTTCACCTATAATCACCAGCTCCAGGGGCTCACTGGGCTCTGAGTAGCCAGAAGGGTTCCATAGTAGCATCGATGTAGCCCTGCATGGTGCTCTGTCACGGATGGAATGGAGAACACGGCCATGTTCTTGAGTTCCTACGATGTTTATTTTCTCCAAGGCTCTCAGTTCCCTCTTTGTGCAGAGCATATTCCTGGGCTCCCATAGTCCCCTCACACCAGAAGGTCACAGGTTTCCCCCATGGTATCACAGATCCTGGCTCAGCCTGGGGCCTAGGTTTGGATAGGGTCCCTGCAGGGAAATCACAGCTAGGTCCCAGCACCTTCCTCCTCCCCTCAGATCCCAGTTTTGAGTCTCAGGACCCTCTAGGCCTCCCAGCACCAGCCCACACCTGCTGTGCTCCACCCCCACTGCCCGGAGTTGCCCCATGTCCCCAGGAAAAGGAGGAACCTGGGGTAGCTAGGGACACACTTACCTGCTTTCACTGGAGTCCTGGGGCCCAGACTCAGCCCTGGAAGAGAGTTCCCTGTGAGCACTTTGCCCTCGAGCCTCAGCAGGGCCTCTGCTCCCCAGAGCCTCCTGTGCCCCTGTTCTTCTGATGGACCAGGGCCTGGCTGTGGGTTGCAGACTAGGCATTCCCATCCCATCGCTCAGTTCTCACTGATGCAGAGCAGGGCCGTGAGTGTGGCAGTCATGGTTTCCTACCTCCAGGTGAGACTGTGTGGAGATCACAGTGCCTGTCATACGATTTGGCAGCTGAAGATTCGTTTTTGCCCTCCATTGGTTGGTCACCTCAGGAGCCCTACAGGAAGCGGAAGTGACACCCACTGACAGCGGGGCTTTTTTCCCCCAGACTGATCCTGTCTCAGTTGCAGACTGCTGTGGAGTTTCCCCTTCCTCCTTCACATTCCTGATTGATCCTCACCTCACTGAGTTCCAGGTCACAGAAGCCAAAAGATCTAGACATATTCACAGCTGATGCCATCCAGTGCATGGTCACCCTGGGCTGACCCTTCCTCTCAGAGCCTCCCACTCCCAGAGGGAGGGTCGCCTCCCTCCTTCAGCCCTTCCACCTGTACAGCACGGTACTCCTCACAGTTGCCATCCTCCCCTAGCCCTAGAAACGCCTTGAGGAGGATGCAGGTCCCTGCTGCTGGTGGACTACAGCGTCCCTCTGAATTGTTGAAATTTCCATTTTCAGTTATATCCTCAATGGTTGAGGTGTTTTTTTAGCTCAAAAAATGTTAATTGACTGGTTGTCACTTCCCCCATTCCTAATGAACACTGACTTCACTATCCTTTATGACATGAGCTCACATTCACAAAACTAAAGCTCGCCCCAGGAACACACATGCAGTGTGTGGTGTGACTCAGCCCACAGCACACATCTGTGCAGAGATGCAGACATGGAGCCTGGTGAGTTATCTCATATCCAAGCCCTCATGATCGTGATAGAAAATTGGCCAGAACAAGTGATGAAACTAAAGTTTCCTCACCTATTGATCTCTTGTGATGAAGAAACCCAACCTAAAGCAATTCCTTTACTGTCTTAATGGTGTGGGTTTCCCCACTGGGAAAGCTTTCTAACCCAGCATCCCCTAAGGTCAGGCCCAGGATTTGTGGAAGGTGATGGTGAAGGTGATGGAGGCCACTTACTGTGCTCCCGTTAATTCCTGAGGCCTTAGATTCCACCAGTCAAAAGACAGCATTTAGTGGCTTTCTAAATCTTTAACAATACCAATATTTCTGTATCTGTAATTTCTGTGGTTATATCCTCTACACCTGCATCCATTACTCAAGGAAACATCCCCGACCTGCACTGCTATCCCAGCTCCTTGTCCCAGCATTTTTGAGGCGACTTTCCCATGTCTTTCAGCCCATCAGTACTCACTGCTTAACTGGGCATATACCCCCATCCAGCCTTCATCCTGTATCACATGGCCCTGAGCTCTCTTCCCTTCTGAGTTCATGGGGAGCTGGTTGCCTTGACCTGAGAACACGCAGTGGGATTTTCTTTGTAAGTCAATTAGACATTCTGAGTCCTCAGACAGAGGTACTGTGAGCTCAGTCATCCCATACTCAACACAGGCATCAGATTCAGTGAGGAAGATTTTCTGGATTCTCCTTGTGGTTGTCATACTAACTCTCTTGTTACTGGGACAAACTACTGGACATTCACATATTATCTGAGGAAAGGATTATTGTGACTCAGTCTATAGGGGCTTCAGTTCACAGGTGGCTGGCTCCAAGCACAGGTGGTGTGGGAGAGTAAAAACAGTCTGTGGTGTGGTGGCCAGGAAGCAGTGAATGGGATCATAGGACTGGGGAAGACACATATTTTGCATCTCATGCTCACAATGGCCACCTCTTCTCACACATTTCACCTGCCAACATCACCCTCACTCAGGAACCCAGCAATGGATGACTCCAGTGCCATACAGCAACCATCCAGTCCCATAATCCAGGTTTCTACCCAAAGCCACACTTATTAGTGCCTGAGTCTTTGGGAGTCATCACCCTGACCTGAAGCTGAGGTGTGTGCAGACCCTCTTCCAGTGGATGACGCTTCTATACCTCAACGTGAAAGTTGTGTAGGTTCAGGACAAGTGACAGAGCTCACCTGCTCCAGCCAGTTGGGCTCATTACTGAACCTGGCATGGAATGACACCTAGAAACACATGACCATTAGGGTCATTGTTGATGGTGGATGGAGCACAGTGCTCCTAGAGTGGACACAGAGAATCACCCAATGTGGTGATGGTTTATATGTACTGAAGAAATGTTTAATATTGGCTCCTTAACTGGACATTGCTCCCCATCCACCCAATGTAAAACTCACCTTCCCTTGGGTTTAATGATGCTGCAGTCAAAGCAGAGTGTGGTTCTTACTGAAGGAGCAACCAGAGCCTCCCCACCAGGCATGAGGAGCGGAGCTTTGCTGGTACCTGCATTGGGTCCTGTGGGTGATCTTCCTGCTGGGCAGGGAGGACTCTAGCATTTTTTGATTCTAGTGCATAATGACTCTAGGTGATCATTGTAAAATGGAACCAAATGTACACATATATTTCCTGCAGTATTGGTTCAGGAACATCTCACAGCAGGAGCTGTGGGTCCTCAACACACCTAGGGTCACCTCTGCTTCCTGCACACATGGTGACAGTGGATGTGCTGAGGATCAGATGGAGCCCACACTGTGACCACTGGAGCTGTGTACTGAGATCTCTCTTAAATGTGGTGGCACCTGGCTGCACAGCAAAAATCTTTCCATGCAAAGAGCACAGAAGGCAAGCAGTCCACAGGACAGAAGGGAGAGCTGATGCTGCTCTGCCTTTGAACTAGAGCCTTCAACCCTTTGAGTTCTCCTCCTGGGTCCCTTGCACCTGGCAGCACCTGCATGATTTGTTTGCAGTGAGGTCCCTGTGTCCTGCTCTCATGGATCCTTCTGGTGACACTGTAAGGGGTGAACTGTCCTTTTGTCCCTCCCTTGAGAAGCTGTCCTTGGTTACCTCCTGGTTGCTGGCTGATGGCCTGACATCTCTGGGTCTAACTTTCCTCATTGTCCTCTTAACCCTCCAGGAGGTTCTCCTTCCCTATCTGGAAACGCTTCCTAAAACAGCACTGTGTGTGGTTCTCACCACCTGGATTTCCTAGGAGCACAGGCTGAGGGCTCCTCTGTTCCCTTGGCTGGGGCAGTTCTGCTTTTCTCAGTATCCACAAATGTCTGGAGTCTACATTTTCATTTTGCAACCAGCATTTTGCTATGTTTATGATCTTCCTCCTAGTGATTTCTGTTTTCTAAGTACACAATCAAGCTGCCCTCACATGATGACCTTTTGAATTTCTGAAGAGCCACAGCTCAGTCCTAGCTTTCTTTGTCATAATTGTCATCACTATGTGTTGTCATCATCTTTCCTTCACATCCATGCATGGACCTCCTGAGAAATGTGGAAAAGAATCCCAGTAACACAGTTCCTTCTCTCCTTCATGAGTCAGAATTACCAATTATTTCTTTGTAAGTAAGAAGCTTCTTCCAGATTTTTAATAAATTTCTTTCAAGTTTGATTGAGCAGTCATCCTATTTTTTGAAACTATGTACACTTGGTGACTTTCTGTAGAATTTTTTTCTTCATCTGTTCAGGTGAGCACATTTTTTCTATAAACATGGTAAAATACACTGATGTTATTAATTACCATAGCAGTCGTGATTCTTTGGGCAAATTCACTTTGCTCACACTTTTGGACACTAAAGTGTGTTGTTGGCTACTGTTTAACCCAAGGGTCCTGGGCTGTCATTTTCCTCTAATGAAAAATGAGGGAGAATGTCTCATGAGAACCTCAACTTCTCCAAATACAAAAGTTGAGACATGTTCCTTCTGTATTTCTTTGGGAATATTTCCTTTCCTATAAAATGTTCCCAGGGCTGTACAAACTTTATTAGATTTTAAATAAATATTTATATTTTTATTTTTCTAATTTAAACTATTGGTTGCTATGATTCTTATTTCCTAATTTATTACTTTGTCAAAGTTGATGTAATTTTCATGCAAATGTAAATCACTCAATTTTTTGTTTTTGTGTTTCAATTATTTTTATTTAATTCTTTTCTTTAAAGTGTAGATACTTCATAAGCTTAGTGTGTGCTTTTAAACTTATGATTAATGTGATCACTTTGTGGTTTCCTTAGTCTCAGTTATTTTACTGAGTTTCAGACAGGCACTTTAACCACCTAAGTTATTTTAAAACTAACATTTAATATATATGCAAATGTGTTGGTGTAGCTGTCTCTTGGACCACAGGATCAGGCCATATCTAGGATACCTGGGTCCCAGGCCAGCCCCCTGGCTGCCAGTGGTCCTTAGCTAGGTGTGCATGGGGCAGCTCCTGGCCCTCCAGAGGCCCCCATGTGTCAATGTTTGCACTGTGAGGTCTGAAATTTCTCCAACCAGGTGGGCATACATGCTGGGCACAGCTGAGCTCTCCTCTTCCTGGAAGGAAGGGGCTGTGCTTGACTCTTGTGTAAGCCTGAAGCTGTTCAGCTGGGTGTAGGTCACTCCCTGGGGAACTTTAGAGTCAGCTTCTAGGAGGGAGGGTAAGTAGATGGGGATGCAGGTGCAGTGTGGGAAAGCCTGGAGACCTATATGTAATGGGACTCACCTGCCTTTCCCTCTGCTTGTCCTCCACTGTGGGTCTAAACCTCAGTCCTGGCATTGCCTTGACATGTTATAAGCGTGTGGGGAAACCCCACATCTCTCTATGGAGGGCTCACCTGGGTGTAAATCACTTCCTGGGGATCCTGTTGCTCAGGTCTATGTAGCAGGGATAAAGCAACAAATGGTGCTTCTTCCCAAACCAAATACAGTGGTTTGACCACTGTATTTTTGGGTCAGGTGATTATAGGGAGGAAGATAACAGTTGCAAATCTTCTTCCAGTGGAAAACTGGTTAACACGTTTTCCCCACATACAATGTTTGGCAGCCACACTCAAGTACACAGTGGAAATGTTGAGCACAAGAATGTGAAAACACTGTTAAGGCCTGATTTTTACTCTGTCAGTCACTCTTGAAAAAGAAAAACCCAGAAAGTGTAACACTGAGAGGCTGGTTGTGTTGTGCTGCAAACCTAAGAATATTTATTGCTCATGTAGCTTCCTCTGAGCAGCAGGTGAGCTGCACCAGGCTAAGCTCCATGCCATGTCCTGGAAGAAAAAAGATGTGGACATTTTTCTGTCCCTCTTCACCCCATCCTCTGCA